CCTTCAAAACCCAGTAACAGCCTTGTAGCTAACAAAAAAAAAAAAAAAGGGGGTTACATAAAAGAGTTACATAAAAAAAAGTTGCATAAAAAGAAGTTCTACAAGATGACAAACAGGGCTAATTGGGATATTTAAAAAACAGAAGAAACCTTTAGAGGATCTACATCATAAAAAATAGTACACGTTTCTTCAGCAATTTAAAACAACTGCTTTATTTGTGCTTTTCCGCTCTTTATTTCCAAGTGGAACGAAGTTCCCAGCAGCCCCAGAAGGCCCCAGGCCCCCCCTCAGGCACTCGTTTTTGTTCAGCTTATGTGCTAAATGCAAAAGTTCCCCCCCAGATTTGCAGGTAGGGTTAGGTAGGGATCCGCTCCAATTAGATCCTGCTCCATAAATGATGCCTAATTGTCTGATGGAACCCCTCACACAGCAAAGATACTGAAGTCAGAGAGTCAAACTTCCCTTTATGACGTCACAGGAAAAGAAAGTTGTCTTTTTTTTTTTAATTCCATTTTTGGCTAAAACTTTTACAGTTCCAGAAATGCAGTACTTGGCCTCTTCGTTTACTGCTGACCCCAAACCACCCCAGCATTTCCCCACATACATGTTCCTCAGTAACAAGAGAAAATCCTTCCAAGAGCAGTTCCTCTGGTTGCCCATCGGCCGAAGGAGTGACCTGCAGGGCCGCTTCTTAGAAAAGCATTAGCAAAGCTGCCAAAATCAGCCCTAAACCAGCTGCTTGGCCAGGCTTAAAATCCCTTCCAGCAGCTACTATTAGCAGCCAAGCACTTAAAGACCGACTGCGTCCTCTCCTGCCATCAGGAAGGGACCTTTCTAAGCATGTTGGTGTTACAGGATGGAAGTAGGATGGAGTTGGGCTGTTTCCTTGGAGGGAATCAGCCCTAAACCAGCTGCTTGGCCAGGCTTAAAATCCCTTCCAGCAGCTACTATTAGCAGCCAAGCACTTAAAGACCGACTGCGTCCTCTCCTGCCATCAGGAAGGGACCTTTCCAAGCATGTTGGTGTTACGGGATGGAAGTAGGATGGAGTTGGGCTGTTTCCTTGGAGGCATGGATGATGTGGACGGGACGTTTCTCCACGTGGATGATTGGAGCTGTTGGCTGTGAAAGGAAGCTCATGGAACTGCAGAGAAGAATGATCTTTACTATTGATGGATGATGTGGACGGGACGTTTCTCCACATGGATGATTGGAGCCTTTGGCTGTGAAAGAGAGCTCATGGAATCACAAAGAATGATCTTTACTGTGAGGGTAGTGGAGCACTGGAACAGGTTGCCCAGGGAGGTGGTTGAATCCCCTTCCCTGGAGATAATCAAGGTGAAGCTCAATGAGGCTCTGGGCAACCTGGTCTAGTTGAGGGTGTCCCTGCTGACTGCGGGGAGGTCAGACTAGATGACCTTTGGAGGTCCCTGCTGGCCTGGACCATTCTATGACGTGGAGTTGGAGAACAACAGGCTACTAGGACGTTGTTCCTCTCCTCCTAGCTCATACTAGTGAGCACATTTTCCTCTTTTAGGTGTGTTTCAGGGGTGTAAATGGGGGTCTGATGGTGGTACCATGGTGGTCTCACCCTTGTGTGTCTATTCCCATGCATGTCCCATGGGGCAGGACGATGATGGTAGGGCATCCCTTAGGCAGCCAGGTCGAAGTCGTCACGCTCCTGGTTGTAGTCGAGGACCTTCTGCCGCAGGCGGGAGGCGTCCACCCAGGTGATGAAGTCCTCCACGGCTCGGGGGACGAGGAGCGCGGGGTCGGTCACCACCTCGGGGCCTACGCGGATGTGGCCTTGCTCCACGAAGGTGACGGCGTGGCGGAGGTTCTGGGCCATCCGCAGCTTCACCAGCAGGCAGGGCAGGCGGCGGCGGCAGAAAGCGGCGGCCGAGAGGCTCTCGCAGGCGGCCAAGGACCTCCGGTTGCCCACCAGCCCCAGCCCGTAGAGCTTCTCCAGCAGCGCGGCGGCGCAGCGGGTGCGGAAGGCGGCGCTGGCCGGCCCCAGATCGCGCAGGCGGCGGGCCAAGGCGCGGACGGTGCGGGCCAGGGCTTTGTACCTCACGTAGTCCTCCCGCCGGCCCAACCGATAACGCCGCAGGGCCTTCACCTCCGCCAGGCTCCCCCCCGCCGCCTCCCAGCTCACCAGCTCCAGCCGCCGCAGCAGCTTCTGCTCGTGGTACTTCAGCTTCCGCACCATCTTGGATGGGATGGAGGGAGGGTGGGATGGAGACACCGCAACTCGGGCACCGACCGCCCTTTCCGGGGAGGAGCGACCCCGCTCCGCCCCGCAGCTTCCCCCGGAGGAGGCCGCCCCATCCCGTCCCGCCCCCGGGTGTTCCCTCCCGTCCCGTCCCCGGTTGGGATGGCCCCCGGGGCTCTTCCACTCCGGTCCTGGGGTGCTGCCCGCAGAGGAGGAGGAGGAGGATAATCCACCCCCCAGCCCCGGTTGTCCCGGGGGATGCTGCTGGCGCCCGCTGCCCGCTCTGGGATGCGGTGGGTGTCCCCCCCCTGCGCTCGGCTCGTCCCCAGCCTGGCTCCGAGGTGTCACCGAGGTAGGGGCGAGGTGTGTACGTGTGTGTGTGTGTGTGTGTGTCACACCTTCCCGCTCGGCCAGCCCTTCCTTTTCTCCCCAGGGATCGACCCCAGGCTTCGCCGTTCCTCTTGGAAAAACGGCTGCGGCGTCGGGTTTTTCCATGACATCCTTCCCCGTTAAGACACGTCAGTCGGTTTTGTTTACTGTAAAAACTTCCCTTTCTGTCCTTCCTTCGAGGAGGAGGCAGGTGGGATGGGACCTGCATCCCCCCCACCCGCCCTGAAACTCGCCTTTCTTGGGCCTGCACGTCCCTGTTTGTGCCCAAGAAGTGGCACCGCTGCTGCCCTGTGTCACCTCCACCTCCCCAGGGCCACCGTGGTGACCCCAGCCAAACATTCCTCCCTCCCCGCCTCTCTCTTTGGTCCACGGCGTTGTCCCATCCTTGGGATTCAGGACACTCTGCTCCAAGGAGGTTCCCCAGTGGAGCAGCTCAGGTTGATCACTTGGGATTTGAGATCTCCGGTTCTCCTAAGCAAATTCCTGTGTTGCCTTCAACCCTGAATTTCCTCCTGCTGGACCTTCCGACGCAGTGGATTTTTTTCAGAGTGGGTGATGTGGTCACCCAGGCCATGGGGGGGCCTCTCTTGATTTGCTTTGTGCTTTTCTCCAGGTTTGTCGGTGAAGGCGCCGATGGAAATGGGGAGCAACAGCACTGAGAAGTTTTACAGGATCCCCGAAGGGAAGGGACCGCACTCAGTGGGATGCACAGACCTGATGACGGACAACGCGGTTGAGGTAAAGCTCTCGGTTCTTCTCCCTTTGGATCTAAGGCACCATGTTAGTGAAACAACCTGTGGGTGAGGCCTTGTATGTGCAGGGGCCCTCCATGGCTGACGCTCCCAGCTGAGCTTTCTGTCCTCTCTGTCCCAGTGTAGGATGGGAACTGGGCATTTACCAGATGGATGTAACCTGCAGGCCTTCTCCATGGCTCCCTCCCTGCATACCCTTGCCTTCCTGACTGCCCTACACAGGATACCTGGATGAAGGGATGGAATGTACCTTCAGCAAGTTTGCTGATGACACAAAACTAGGAGGGGTGGCTGACACCCCAGGAGGCTGTGCTGCTACACAGAGAGCCCTGGACAGGCTGGAGAGTTGGGCAGAGAGAAACCTGATGAAATTCAACAAGGGCAAGTGTAGGGTGCTGCACCTGGGGAGAAATAACCCCATACACCAGTAGAGGTTGGGGGCTGACCTGCTGGAGAGCAGCTCTGAGGAAAAAGACCTGGGAGTCCTGGTGGACAACAGGATGACCATGAGCCATCAATGTGCCCTTGTGACCAAGAAGGTAAATGGCACCCTGGGGTGCATCAAGAAGAGTGTGGGCAGCAGGTTGAGGGAGGTCATCCTGCCCCTCTACTCTGCCCTGGTGAGGCCCTATCTGGAATACTGCATCCAGTTCTGGGCCCATCAGTTCAAGAAGGACAGGGAACTGCTGGAGAGGGTACAGCAGAGGGCTGCAAAGTCTATTAGGGGCCTGGAGCATCTCTCGTATGAGGAAAGGCTGAGGGACTTAGTTCTTTTCGTCTGAAGAGAAGACTGAGGGGACGTCTGATCAATACATAAAAATACTTAAAGAAGGGTGTCAGGAGGGTGGGGCTGGTCTTTTTTCAGGGGTTCCCAGTGACAGGACAAGAGGAAATGGGCACAAACTTGAGAATAAGAAGTTCCACCTAAACGTGAGGAGGAACTTCTTTACTGTGAGAATGGTAGAGCACTGGAAGAGGCTGCCCAGGGAGGTGGTGGAGTCTCCTTCTCTGGAGACATTCAAAACTCACCTGGACAAGTTCCTGTGCAACCTGCTTTAGGTGGACCTGCTTTGGCAGGGGGGTTGGACTAGATGATCTCTGGAGGTCCCTTCCAACCCCATATGATTCTATGATACTGCAGAGAAGCCGTGTCCTCCTGGGACCCACAGGGTTCTTCCCAGCCACCCCACCGCTCCCTGCTGCACTGGGCTCCTGGGGAGGCTCCAAATGCAGTCTCCGTGATTGCAACTCTTCTCACCACAGAGATCCCCACAGGATTTGGCAGGGTTGGGTGATGAGGGTGGGCAGGTGGTGTCTTCTCAAAATTTTATCTAGCTGAAAAAGACCAGGATATCCGTTCTGCAAGTAGTTGGTACAGAGAGAAGCCACCATAAGAAGATGGGGACAGTAAACAAGCTTGCTTTTGGGTTTCTATTTCAAATCCTCTTGCTTTTTAATTTTCCTGTGGGTTTTAGTTTTAGTTTTCCTGTGGTTTTACTCCTCAGACTCAGCCAGGTGTAGTGGAACTTGTGATCAGTTTGTAGTGGTTATTCATATGTTGTCCTTTGCTCTACTGAGCTTACTCTATAGTAGCGCAAAGAAGCGATTAGTTTCTCTTTGCAATCAGCCCATGTGTTTTTCTTAGATAAGCAATCTGTCTAATTACAGTTCTCCCAGACATAAGTAATGAACCTCTTTCCCTTTCTGGTAAGCAGTCAGTCACCGGGGGAAGTTCTCCAGGACTGTTCTGCCACCAAATCGATATCATTACCAGCGTGGATGAAGCTTTGATGATTTCTTCCTTAAAGGCCTTTGTGTCAAAGATTGATTTAAGTTTGAGGAGTAAATAGAAACAAGCTTCATGAAAGAAGCTTTTGGTACGTGCTGTGTATGAAACTGACAAATTAGCGTTGAAGAAACCAGGCTTTATTCCCAAGCTCGTGTTCCTGTTGGCCCTAGACTTAACTTGTTAAGACAGAAGCACGGTTGGAGCAAGAGCAGTGTGAAGAGTGTGTTTCAAATTCCCCCGCAAACCAGGAAGTAAGAATGCAAATTACACAGAGCTCCTCTGCCAGGAGGTGGGCTTTGAGGTGTCCTCTTGGCACACTGCTGCTGGCTGCCCAGGGAAAATACTGGCGAGGGGGCACGGGGGGTTGGTGTGACTATGGAAAGCTTGGCTGGTTTCCTGGAAGACCAGAAGTGCAGGCAGTAAAAGAAGATTCACAGCGGTGGTAAGAAACAGAGGCAGATAAAACACAGGTTAACAAAATTGCATTCAGGAAGATGGATCACTACAGGGTTGTGAACGCCTTGATGAGGAGGAAGAACAATATATTGCACTGCTTTGCTGGGCAGCTGCCCAGGAGAACCTTCTACTCAGCTCAGCCAGGAACACTATAGCCAGGCTGAGACCATGCCCCTGACTCTGCCCACAACTCCTCTGCTGGACCACGCTTCCAGAAACGAGTCTCAGGGGGAAATTTGTCTTGCTAACCTCATGGAAAAACATACTTCTAGGAGGGTCCCTTTCCCCCCCTGCCAGTTTAGCAAGAGGAGTTGGCTGAGTAACAGCTCCATGGGACTCGCTGCAAGGAAAGCGATGGTGGCTCCCAGCTGGGAGGGCAAAGGGGACACAGTCACCCCTGTTAAACCCCTCAAACTGCTTCATGGTACCCTTCCCTGAGGGGAGGAGCAGTGAGGAAGACAAAAGAGAAGATCCAGCAAGATGTAGAAATGGAGCAAACAGGTAGTGAGGGTTTGTAATGACTCACTTAATTCAATTAGCTATAGGCTAACCTAGAGAAGGTGACCCGTATCTCTGCCTGGATGCCAGCAGTCACACTACTTTAAATTCATTGCTGGGACAAAAAGATAGTGACAGGATTGCCATCAAAGCCTCTATAGGATAATAATTTTCTTGTGAGATTCTCTTAATTCTCTTGAGTTGTCATTCTTGCACATGAAGCCCTTTATATATGACATATAAATGCTTTTATCTTCCATATATAAATAAATACCAATCTTCCCTTTTTGTGTGTGTGTGTCCTTCCCCAGGGAAGCTTCTTGCGCCTCTATTATCCGTCGTGCGATGCCACAGATAACGAAGAGGCACCATGGATTCCAGATAAAGAGTACTACCAGGGGCTCTCCGACTTCCTTAACATGTACCGAATTGTAGGACAAAGGCTTTTCCAGTACTACGTTGGTAAGACTGGGTTTGGTTTTATTCCTTGCCTAGTGCAAGGCCGTGAGCTCTGTATGCAGCTCGTTGCCTCACTGCTCTGTACGCAGTGTATTATTGCTGTGGGACTAATTGTTGGAGCAATTTGCTCTAGGAAGAGCTTGGCTTGCTACTTCTCTGTGTCGGGATTTAGATCCCACAGGGAAATGTGCAAATATACAAAGGTGAGATGATAGATACTAAGGTCTGAATGCCAACAAGACTTGGATGCCTGACTTCTTGAAAATCCGTTCTCGTTGGGTTTTAAAGATAAGTAGGCCTTGTGCTTGGCTGTGGAGGAGGAGGAAAGTATCTTCTGCCAAGTAGAAAGTATTTTGAGAATCAAATCCATGTTTGTCTTCTGTATTTTAAGGATGAGATCTGGTACCTTATCTTCAGATGACTGCTCTGAAATCAGTGGTCGCCAGATTCTTGGGATCTCTCCCGCAGGAACAAGGGCTTTCTCTCATTTCACTTCGATTTCTATCTAGGTTCAGTGACCTGTCCTGCAAAGTCAAATGCTGCTTTTAAACCCGGCGAAAAATACCCACTCCTCGTTTTTTCCCATGGACTTGGAGCTTTTCGGTAATTCTGCACTTTGTTGACAACCTATTTTTGTCGTCTGTGGAGACAGCGGTCTCCAAGGATGGTTCTGAACAGATTTTCAGTAGGGAGGTGAGATCCCCGTGGGGTTGAAACAGATTTGCTGTGTATCGGTATCCACTGATACCAACAGCAGTAAATAAAAGCATCAGTGGTCGCCAGATTCTTGGGATCTCTCCTGCAGGAACAAGGGCTTTCTCTTGGGATCTCTCCCGCAGGAACAAGGGCTTTCTCTCATTTCACTTCGATTTCTATCTAGGTTCAGTGACCTGTCCTGCAAAGTCAAATGCTGCTTTTAAACCCGGCGAAAAATACCCACTCCTCGTTTTTTCCCATGGACTTGGAGCTTTTCGGTAATTCTGCACTTTGTTGACAACCTATTTTTGTCGTCTGTGGAGACAGCGGTCTCCAAGGATGGTTCTGAACAGATTTTCAGTAGGGAGGTGAGATCCCCGTGGGGTTGAAACAGATTTGCTGTGTATCGGTATCCACTGATACCAACAGCAGTAAATAAAAGCAGGGTTGGTGTATTTATTTGTGGTTTCCCGATGTATTTTAGGGGTGAAGGTATTTACTAATCCATAAACACGTTGGGAAGATTAACTAGTTGGTTTTCAGGCAGCAAAAGTGTCGGTAAATAAAAGCAGGGTTGGTGTATTTATTTGTGGTTTCCCGTTGTATTTTAGGGGTGAAGGTATTTACCAATTCATAAGTATGTTGGGAAGATTTAACTAGCTGGTTTTCAGGCAGCAAAAGTGTCCTATGTGCTACTTTTTAAAAATCATTAGCATTTTTCCTTCTGAATAGATAGTAAAACAGTAATGAGGGTGTGTGACCAGGCTTTGGTGCCTGGCGTACAAAAGCCTGCTCTGCTGGCTCGCAAATTCAAACAGAAGAAATACTGAGTGGGGGCTAGTGCATACGTAGTGCGGTCAGTGTTTTAAAGAGTAGTGTAATTGAAATAATTACGTCTGCATGTGTCTCACCAGCGTGCGCTTTGTTTGCAGGACAATCTACTCTGCTATTTGTGTAGAGATGGCTTCTCAGGGCTTCATCGTGGCTGCTGTGGAGCACAGGTGCGTATTTGGCAGGTTTTCGAGTTCTGATGGAAAGAAACTTTCTCACATTGAATTTAATGTTTTATTTATTCTAAAGAAAAACTTATGATCAGGTTTTTTTAAAGAGAAACTAACATATCTTTGGCTTCTCAGGGCTTCATCGTGGCTGCTGTGGAGCACAGGTGCGTATTTGGCAGGTTTTCGAGTTCTGATGGAAAGAAACTTTCTCACATTGAATTTAATGTTTTATTTATTCTAAAGAAAAACTTATGATCAATTTTTTTTTAAAGAAAAACTAACATATCTTCTTCAGCCCTGCCCACATCCCCAGTTTCTCTCACAGAATCACAGAATCTTCTAGGTTGGAAGGGACCTTAAAGATCATCTTGTCCAACCGTCAACCTAACTGACAAAAATAGACACCCACACAACAAACAAGGAGCATCATCACTAAACCATACCTCCCAGCACTACATCAACCCGTCTTTTGAACTCCTCCAGGGATGGTGCCTCAACCACCTCCCTGGGCAGCCCATTCCAATGGCTGAGAACCCTTTCACTGACAAAATTTTTCCTAATATCCAGCCTGAACCTCCCCTGGCGCAACTTGAGGCCATTTCCTCTTGTCCTGTCGCCTGTGACTTGAGAAAAGAGACCGACCCCCCCCTCTCTACACCCTCCTTTCAGGTAGTTGTAGAGAGCAATAAGGTCTCCCCTCAGCCTCCTCTTCTCCAGGCTGAATAACCCCAGCTCCCTCAGCCTCTCCTCATAAGACTTATTCTCCAGACCCCTCACCATCTTTGTCGCCCTTCTCTGGACCCGCTCAACTCTTACCGATGAAAAAGGAATTTGCTTAGATAAGCCTTTGAATGAAAAGTTCCAGGGTAGATAGGGTTCATCATTCTCCAGACACGCTGCTTTTCCCTCTCTTATTGTTAGAACCTGGAGAATATAAAGGAGGTGGGAGTTGTGGTGGGGTTATTGCATTATGTAGAAGGTCTGTCTACACTCAGTTGTGACTGCAGCAGCACTGGTTGGTCGCTGGATCTCTTGAGACAAGTGAAATGTAAAACTTCTGCTGACTTCATCTCAAACCAAACGGAATACATCCCCAGAAATTACCTTTTGTTGATATTCCAGAGACGAATCTGCTTCAGCAACGTATTATTGTAAAAAAAGGTCCGTTTCTGAATCGCAGGAAGAGTCTACGTCGAACATGGAGAAGGAGTGGATCTACTACAGGAAACTAAAAACTGGAGAGGAAGAGCGCTTCTTGCGCCATAAGCAGGTACCCATCCGAGTCTGTGCTCCTGGGGGGAGGTAGAAGGGGGGGATTTAGGACAAACCAGCCAGCTCTTTCCATTGGCCATGTCTGCAGTCTTCTGCCATGACTTGGGGGATAGATAAAAATGCATTAAGCCCTACATTCCTGAAGATGGGAAAGCCAACAGCAGCTTTGCTCAGAGCATGAATTACTTCCCCCACAAAGTTGCACCGTCAGGCTTAGTCAGCTGTTCCTCCTCTGGTTCCACTCAACTTTCTGTTTCTTCTCTGTGTCTTCACACTTTTCCTGCCCAGCCCAGTCTTTAAGTGACACAGAGTTAAATTTGAGAGTTTGTGTGCCCTCAGGCTTGCCTTGGCTTTTGTTTGCTTCTGGGTAGCAAGATGAATCATGGCTGCTTCATCTTCTTCACACTTTAACATGGTTTATAGCAATGTAAACAATGCAGACTTCCTGCATTATAAGCAGCATCTGTGCTAGATGTGGTATGGCCATACTGGCGAGATCTTCCAAGCATAGAATCGACCTTTAAAATATGGGAGTGTTTTCTTCCAGCTAAGGACAACTCAGCCGGGGAGGCGTTTATCTCCCTGGGCCATACAGACAGCAGGACAAGTGTCATTTCCTATGTGCATACAACATCCTACTTACGAGTCTAAATACAACGTATCTGAGCTTGCAAACAACCTCCAGAAGCCATTACCAGCAAATTTCGCTAGTAGAGAAGTCAGGAAATAGAGATTTAGTTGAAATTCTGTGATGCACAGAACATCTTGCTGGCTGCCTACACACTGCAGTTCTCAAGGACCGTTCTTTGGTTCTTTTTGAAGCTTTTCTTTTACTAAAATATCAAAATCAAAACTACTTCTTATACCAAACAATGAAAACCTTTATTTACAACAGGTTTAGTACAGTTTTCAAGAATGTGTATAAATATACAATGGGAAGGGCTTCTTGGTTCTTTCTTATTTTGGGTTTATCCGGTGTAAAGACAGTTTCAAAGCTATCATGCAGATGGGGCAAGTGATGTAATGACATTTGCTCATCAGTGTGAGCATGAGGAGGAGCCACAAGTCAGCCTTCCTTGTAGTTGTGCAACTTAAGCCTTTGTACATCCCAACAACTCCTTCTCCAAGTGAGGAAGGTCTTTGGCACGTGTTGTAGTGATAAATTCCTCCACGTGCAGAGGATCTACACAAGAGCTTCGACTCTTTGGACCTCCAGAGGTCAGTTTTGTTGTTAGTCAGACCTCGTCCGAGTTCCATTTCACAGTTCCCATTCTGCAGTTCAGAATAGTCATTATTGTATCAGGCATTTATGGGGGGGGAAAAAATGAGAGTAAATCTTGTGTGCAAAGGGCCAGCAAGCCTAGCAGCTGTCTGAGAATTCCTTCCACTGCTCTGACCCCACTTCTCTTTCTCCCCAGGTGCAGCAAAGAGCGCAGGAGTGTATCAAAGCTCTCAATCTCATTCTTAAAATCAATTCAGGAGAGGAAGTGATGAATGTACTAAATTCAAACTTTGACTGGAATAGCCTAAAAGTGAGTGAAGTGAAAAGCTCTGACTGCGTTTTGTTAAACGCCTAATAATGCTTCTGGTTTCCCTCTTCCATTTCTAAACTGGTTCCTGTAAACTATTCTGAAGATCACACTGTAAATCTATGAACATCTATCAGGTCATCCCCAGCTGGATAGATAGTAGTGGAGCTGAAATGATGCTCTTCCCACTTCAATAAGATCTATTGCCTAATAAATTATTCCCTTTCAAAAAAAAAAAAAGTTTGGGAAAGAAAGTCTCTTACAGCACCTGGATTTTTTTGACAGGATTCTGTTGATACTAGCAGAATAGCTGTGATGGGACACTCTTTTGGTGGTGCTACAGTTATTGAGAGTCTCAGCAAAGAAATAAGATTCAGGTAAGTAGGCAAAACAAGGCAAGAGACATTTGGAACTTGAGAAATCTGGAGCAGGGGACCTTACCTAAGATCCCCCAACTACTTAATTAGCAGTTTTGTTGGGCATGTCTTGTTTTCTCAAGTCATGCTTCTTTCAGCTGTGGGGATGTGGTGGAACATAATGGTTGTTGTATCATATTATATCCTGATACTGTGGGACCCTGCAGAAGCTTCTGTGCCCAGCTGCACCTGGCAGTGGTGACAACAAATGCAATAATGGATTAATTCTCTTCCCCCAGAGTAGAAATCATTTTGAAACAAAATGATTCATTATTGTTTACCTGTTCAGTATCATAGAGAGTTTCTCTTTCTCATGTGTCCTGCAAATCAAAGCATGGTGAGAACTTCCATATCAAGCTTTCTGCCCCTGTGACAATATGCAGTGGTTTTTGACAGGTGTGGCATTGCCCTCGATGCATGGATGCTTCCAGTAGGTGATGACATTTACCAAAACAGCGTCCAGCAACCGCTGCTTTTTATCAACTCTGAAAAATTCCAGTGGGCTGATAATATCTTAAAGATGAAGAAACTCAGCTCCAACGATGCAAACAAGAAAATGATCACTATCAAGTAAGTGTTGAGGATTATTCATCCTTTCTGTGTCTGAAGATGAATCTTTATTCTCCTGTTGGAGCTTTGGTTACATGTAACTGCAGACAGACAGTCAGTCAGTACTTCCCCATGGCCCAGGTTTAAATTAGACAGCAGCGTGTCCCCACAGTGGAGACAGAGACCTCCCTCAAAGCAGACAGTAACCCTAAGTGGGAGATACTCCAAGGTGTGTGTTCCTGCTCCAGGGCACAAGTTTTGCTCTGGACTTCGTGCATCATGGCTTCAAGCTCCAACAGGGTAGGTTTAGATTGAACATTAGGAAAGAATTTTTCACCGAAAGAGTGGTCGGGCATTGGAACAGGCTGCCCAGGGAGGGGGTGGAGTCACCATCCCTGGCTGTGTTTAAGGGCCGTTTAGATGCAGTGCTAAGGGACATGGTGTAGGGGAGGACTTTGTAGAGTAGGGTAGATGGTTGGACTCGATGATCCCAAGGGTCTCTTCCAACCTAGACGATTCTATGATTCTATGATCTCTGTCTGAACACTTCAAATCACCTTCTGGGAGCAGTTCTGCACTCCCCTAGTGAAAGCACGGCGTGCAGGGGAGCGGGTGGCTCTGTAATCCACCTTCCAGCAGGGACACGGCTTGGTCTTGAAGCTATGCCAAGCCTACCCTTTACTGTCGTTGCAATTACAGCGACTTACAGTAAACACAAAACTTCCTCCCTTCTACGGATAGGACAGAATTTACTGCTGATCTTGCATGCTCCTGAGATGAACTGGTTTATCTGCTTCTGCAAAAGACGACAGCGTAGGATGCGTGACTGGCTTTCAAGAGATCTGGGCAACCCGTGGCATCTTTTAATGGGACGAGTGCATTCTTACAAGCCTGTTTGTTGATCCTTGTTCTGCTTGCAGGGGGTCAGTGCATCAGAGCTTTCCTGACTTCACCTTTGTGAGCGGAGGACTCATTGGAAGATTCTTCAAATTAAAAGGAGAAATAGATCCAAATGAAGCTATTGATATCAGCAATCATGCTTCATTAGCCTTCCTGCAGAAACACTTGAGTAAGTTATCTGTCTATATCAAAATATGAAGTTGAATTAATACTTAATTCCTATGAAGCTTTTTATGTAACCATTCTCTTTAGAACAAAACCAAAAGGAAGTGTGTCAGAAAAGTTTAAGTAGAAAAAACAAGTCAGATTCTTCTTCTAGAGGCTTGTTAGTTACTTTTGCAATTTAAGCAATTCAGAGGAGGAACATTGCAGTTTTATTCCAATATATAAAAACCTGGTGTCATTTTTCCCTCCTTAAAACATCTTGCCTCCCCTCTTTGCCACGTTGATTCATTTGTACTGTAATTTAATTTTTTGATGTAACTTTACAAAAAGCTGACAATTCATTCCACTTGGGTTTTCTTTTCTGCATTTTATAGATCTCAAGAAAGATTTCGATAAGTGGGATTCTCTTGTGGATGGCATAGGACCCAATGTTATTCCTGGAACCAATATTGACTTATCTCCAGCTGAACCTGAATAAAGAATACAAAAAAGTACTGAAAATGCCACAGACATCAGGACACTAATGTTGGCCAGACATTGCTCCGACACGTGATAGTATTGGCCACCTACACAGCTTTTGGGGTGTGGAACAAGAAAATAAAGATAAGACATTAGGTTACATTATCTTGAAAATATAGAGAGGTTTTAGTTCAAATGAATTTGTGGGATTCTTTGAAATACTGCAACAGGGTAACTTCTGCTTTGGAGGCAGCTGGGGGGAAAAAAAAATCACTGGATGGCAATTTAAATGCTTTTTCTGGTTTTGACTTAAAATCAAGTTTGCAGAGAGATTAAGCTGCAAGGAATTCAACTAAAATTCTGCTTACCAAGCTTGAAGTCAGTTCACATCCAGCAAGCTTTTTTTGCAGTGTAAGAAAAAAAATATATCTTTAAGTTGTTACTAAACTACCTAGTATTTCAGCTGTGCTCTGACAACAGCTGAGAGTTGGAGCAGGTTTTTGCTCCTTCTAGTCAGAGAGGTGCCAGCAGAAGGTGGTCTTCAAAACTGTCTTATTTTAATAAAAGTCACAGTGAAAGCCACAGGAAATAGTTTAAGATAACAGCTGAGAAAAGTGTTTGTTCAGACACAGGACTTCTCATATGAACTTAATCCACTTAACATTTAAGATCTGTGTTTATTGCCATACTCAGAGGATGTTTCCATTCCAAAAGCTGCTGAAATGATCACTCTTGTTGTAGTAACTGTAATTCCCCTTCGGCAAAGCTCCAAGTAGCACCTCTGGTTAATCTCTCTATTACCACTATCACTCAGTCCTACTGTTATAGGTGAAATCACAGAAATGATGTGTCACTTCTACCACTCCTTTTAAAAAGGACTATGGAAGCATTGCTCAATCATCTTGATGTCTCTCATGGTGTTCAGACTCTCATCTTTGTCCAGGTACCAGCACTGCTGTCTGTATCTGTCAGTAGAAGCAGCTGACTATGTGGATGGTTAAAGAAGGTTCTGTCTTGATGTCTCTCATGGTGTTCAGACTCTCGTCTTTGTCCAGATACACTGCTGTCTGTATCTGTCAGTAGAAGCAGCTGACTATGTGGATGGTTAAAGAAGGTTCTGATTTTTAGAACAAAACTCTTCGAAGCTGCCACACGGAAGGGTGACTTCTAACTGAATCAGCCTCGCAGAAGCGGGACTACTTCTAACTGTAGCCTGTTTGTTTCAAAATCAGGTTACAAACAAAACTGAAGCAAGTGGAACAAGCAAAGCAGTTAACAGTGTAATTAAGTATTTATATTATATGTGATCTTAACCTGAGATTGCAACAACACCCAAGACATGTTTTTCAGAATTGAATTAAATTCTATCCAGCCTACCATCGTGTGTTGTCTTTATTAAGGGAACAAACATGCAAGTTTTTCTCTTTTTGAGTATGCACCAACAGTTGAGATCTGTGATCCTCAGCCAGACTATTAGTGTCAGAGATCCTAGGTTCCTAAAACTCAGCTGTTCCTCCTCTGGTTCCACTCAACTTTCTGTTTCTTCTCTGTGTCTTCACACTTTTCCTGCCCAGCCCAGTCTTTAAGTGACACAGAGTTAAATTTGAGAGTTTGTGTGCCCTCAGGCTTGCCTTGGCTTATGTTTGCTGCTGGGTAGCAAGATGAATCATGGCTGCTTCGTCTTCTTCACACTTTAACGTGGTTTATAGCAATGTAAAAAATGCAGACTTCCTGCATTATAAGCAGCATCTGTGCTAGATGTGGTATGGCCATACTGGCGAGATCTTCCAAGCATAGAATCGACCTTTAAAATATGGGAGTGTTTTCTTCCAGCTAAGGACAACTCAGCCGGGGAGGCGTTTATCTCCCTGGGCCATACAGACAGCAGGACAAGTGTCATTTCCTATGTGCATACAACATCCTACTTACGAGTCTAAATACAACGTATCTGAGCTTGCAAACAACCTCCAGAAGCCATTACCAGCAAATTTCGCTAGTAGAGAAGTCAGGAAATAGAGATTTAGTTGAAATTCTGTGATGCACAGAACATCTTGCTGGCTGCCTACACACTGCAGTTCTCAAGGACCGTTCTTTGGTTCTTTTTGAAGCTTTTCTTTTACTAAAATATCAAAATCAAAACTACTTCTTATACCAAACAATGAAAACCTTTATTTACAACAGGTTTAGTACAGTTTTCAAGAATGTGTATAAATATACAATGGGAAGGGCTTCTTGGTTCTTTCTTATTTTGGGTTTATCCGGTGTAAAGACAGTTTCAAAGCTATCATGCAGATGGGGCAAGTGATGTAATGACATTTGCTCATCAGTGTGAGCATGAGGAGGAGCCACAAGTCAGCCTTCCTTGTAGTTGTGCAACTTAAGCCTTTGTACATCCCAACAACTCCTTCTCCAAGTGAGGAAGGTCTTTGGCACGTGTTGTAGTGATAAATTCCTCCACGTGCAGAGGATCTACACAAGAGCTTCGACTCTTTGGACCTCCAGAGGTCAGTTTTGTTGTTAGTCAGACCTCGTCCGAGTTCCATTTCACAGTTCCCATTCTGCAGTTCAGAATAGTCATTATTGTATCAGGCATTTATGGGGGGGGAAAAAATGAGAGTAAATCTTGTGTGCAAAGGGCCAGCAAGCCTAGCAGCTGTCTGAGAATTCCTTCCACTGCTCTGACCCCACTTCTCTTTCTCCCCAGGTGCAGCAAAGAGCGCAGGAGTGTATCAAAGCTCTCAATCTCATTCTTAAAATCAATTCAGGAGAGGAAGTGATGAATGTACTAAATTCAAACTTTGACTGGAATAGCCTAAAAGTGAGTGAAGTGAAAAGCTCTGACTGCGTTTTGTTAAACGCCTAATAATGCTTCTGGTTTCCCTCTTCTATTTCTAAACTGGTTCCTGTAAACTATTCTGAAGATCACACTGTAAATCTATGAACATCTATCAGGTCATCCCCAGCTGGATAGATAGTAGTGGAGCTGAAATGATGCTCTTCCCACTTCAATAAGATCTATTGCCTAATAAATTATTCCCTTTCAAAAAAAAAAAAAGTTTGGGAAAGAAAGTCTCTTACAGCACCTGGATTTTTTTGACAGGATTCTGTTGATACTAGCAGAATAGCTGTGATGGGACACTCTTTTGGTGGTGCTACAGTTATTGAGAGTCTCAGCAAAGAAATAAGATTCAGGTAAGTAGGCAAAACAAGGCAAGAGACATTTGGAACTTGAGAAATCTGGAGCAGGGGACCTTACCTAAGATCCCCCAACTACTTAATTAGCAGTTTTGTTGGGCATGTCTTGTTTTCTCAAGTCATGCTTCTTTCAGCTGTGGGGATGTGGTGGAACATAATGGTTGTTGTATCATATTATATCCTGATACTGTGGGACCCTGCAGAAGCTTCTGTGCCCAGCTGCACCTGGCAGTGGTGACAACAAATGCAATAATGGATTAATTCTCTTCCCCCAGAGTAGAAATCATTTTGAAACAAAATGATTCATTATTGTTTACCTGTTCAGTATCATAGAGAGTTTCTCTTTCTCATGTGTCCTGCAAATCAAAGCATGGTGAGAACTTCCATATCAAGCTTTCTGCCCCTGTGACAATATGCAGTGGTTTTTGACAGGTGTGGCATTGCCCTCGATGCATGGATGCTTCCAGTAGGTGATGACATTTACCAAAACAGCGTCCAGCAACCGCTGCTTTTTATCAACTCTGAAAAATTCCAGTGGGCTGATAATATCTTAAAGATGAAGAAACTCAGCTCCAACGATGCAAACAAGAAAATGATCACTATCAAGTAAGTGTTGAGGATTATTCATCCTTTCTGTGTCTGAAGATGAATCTTTATTCTCCTGTTGGAGCTTTGGTTACATGTAACTGCAGACAGACAGTCAGTCAGTACTTCCCCATGGCCCAGGTTTAAATTAGACAGCAGCGTGTCCCCACAGTGGAGACAGAGACCTCCCTCAAAGCAGACAGTAACCCTAAGTGGGAGATACTCCAAGGTGTGTGTTCCTGCTCCAGGGCACAAGTTTTGCTCTGGACTTCGTGCATCATGGCTTCAAGCTCCAACAGGGTAGGTTTAGATTGAACATTAGGAAAGAATTTTTCACCGAAAGAGTGGTCGGGCATTGGAACAGGCTGCCCAGGGAGGGGGTGGAGTCACCATCCCTGGCTGTGTTTAAGGGCCGTTTAGATGCAGTGCTAAGGGACATGGTGTAGGGGAGGACTTTGTAGAGTAGGGTAGATGGTTGGACTCGATGATCCCAAGGGTCTCTTCCAACCTAGACGATTCTATGATTCTATGATCTCTGTCTGAACACTTCAAATCACCTTCTGGGAGCAGTTCTGCACTCCCCTAGTGAAAGCAGGGCGTGCAGGGGAGTGGGTGGCTCTGTAATCCACCTTCCAGCAGGGACACGGCTTGGTCTTGAAGCTATGCCAAGCCTACCCTTTACTGTCGTTGCAATTACAGCGACTTACAGTAAACACAAAACTTCCTCCCTTCTACGGATAGGACAGAATTTACTGCTGATCTTGCATGCTCCTGAGATGAACTGGTTTATCTGCTTCTGCAAAAGACGACAGCGCAAGATGCGTGACTGGCTTTCAAGAGATCTGGGCAACCCGTGGCATCTTTTAATGGGACGAGTGTGTTCTTACAAGCCTGTTTGTTGATCCTTGTTCTGCTTGCAGGGGGTCAGTGCATCAGAGCTTTCCTGACTTCACCTTTGTGAGCGGAGGACTCATTGGAAGATTCTTCAAATTAAAAGGAGAAATAGATCCAAATGAAGCTATTGATATCAGCAATCATGCTTCATTAGCCTTCCTGCAGAAACACTTGAGTAAGTTATCTGTCTATATCGAAGTATGAAGTCGAATTAATACTTAATTCCTATGAAGTTTTTTATGTAACCATTCTCTTTAGAACAAAACCAAAAGGAAGTGTGTCAGAAAAGTTTAAGTAGAAAAAACAAGTCAGATTCTTCTTCTAGAGGCTTGTTAGTTACTTTTGCAATTTAAGCAATTCAGAGGAGGAACATTGCAGTTTTATTCCAATATATAAAAACCTGGTGTCATTTTTCCCTCCTTAAAACATCTTGCCTCCCCTCTTTGCCACGTTGATTCATTTGTACTGTAATTTAATTTTTTGATGTAACTTTACAAAAAGCTGACAATTCATTCCACTTGGGTTTTCTTTTCTGCATTTTATAGATCTCAAGAAAGATTTCGATAAGTGGGATTCTCTTGTGGATGGCATAGGACCCAATGTTATTCCTGGAACCAATATTGACTTATCTCCAGCTGAACCTGAATAAAGAATACAAAAAAGTACTGAAAATGCCACAGACATCAGGACACTAATGTTGGCCAGACATTGCTCCGACACGTGATAGTATTGGCCACCTACACAGCTTTTGGGGTGTGGAACAAGAAAATAAAGATAAGACATTAGGTTACATTATCTTGAAAATATAGAGAGGTTTTAGTTCAAATGAATTTGTGGGATTCTTTGAAATACTGCAACAGGGTAACTTCTGCTTTGGAGGCAGCTGGGGGGAAAAAAAAATCACTGGATGGCAATTTAAATGCTTTTTCTGGTTTTGACTTAAAATCAAGTTTGCAGAGAGATTAAGCTGCAAGGAATTCAACTAAAATTCTGCTTACCAAGCTTGAAGTCAGTTCACATCCAGCAAGCTTTTTTTGCAGTGTAAGAAAAAAAATATATCTTTAAGTTGTTACTAAACTACCTAGTATTTCAGCTGTGCTCTGACAACAGCTGAGAGTTGGAGCAGGTTTTTGCTCCTTCTAGTCAGAGAGGTGCCAGCAGAAGGTGGTCTTCAAAACTGTCTTATTTTAATAAAAGTCACAGTGAAAGCCACAGGAAATAGTTTAAGATAACAGCTGAGAAAAGTGTTTGTTCAGACACAGGACTTCTCATATGAACTTAATCCACTTAACATTTAAGATCTGTGTTTATTGCCATACTCAGAGGATGTTTCCATTCCAAAAGCTGCTGAAATGATCACTCTTGTTGTAGTAACTGTAATTCCCCTTCGGCAAAGCTCCAAGTAGCACCTCTGGTTAATCTCTCTATTACCACTATCACTCAGTCCTACTGTTATAGGTGAAATCACAGAAATGATGTGTCACTTCTACCACTCCTTTTAAAAAGGACTATGGAAGCATTGCTCAATCATCTTGATGTCTCTCATGGTGTTCAGACTCTCATCTTTGTCCAGGTACCAGCACTGCTGTCTGTATCTGTCAGTAGAAGCAGCTGATTTGTGGTTGGCTAAAGAAGGTTCTAATTTTTAGAACAAAACTCTTCGAAGCTGCCACACGGAAGGGTGACTTCTAACTGAATCAGCCTCGCAGAAGCGGGACTACTTCTAACTGTAGCCTGTTTGTTTCAAAATCAGGTTACAAACAAAACTGAAGCAAGTGGAACAAGCAAAGCAGTTAACAGTGTAATTAAGTATTTATATTATATGTGATCTTAACCTGAGATTGCAACAACACCCAAGACATGTTTTTCAGAATTGAATTAAATTCTATCCAGCCTACCATCGTGTGTTGTCTTTATTAAGGGAACAAACATGCAAGCGTTTCCCTTTTTGAGTACACACCAACACTTGAGATCTGTGATCCTCAGCCAGACTATTAGTGTCAGAGATCCTAGGTTCCTAAAACATTATGGCAGTATGAAAAATCCACAGCCTCAGAAAAGGAGGAAGAACCTGTGCTATACCAGGAGCATGGAACAGGACTGGAAAATAGAAAACCCTTTTCAACAGGAGGTGGAGAATAAAAGGTGAGATAAGCTGCAGCTGTTTTAAGAAGGCCTTATGGAACTGTACACACGCAGCAAAACTGTTCTGGTAGGTCTGCTCCATGTCTGGAGAAAAGGCTTCATCTTTAATTAGTACAATTAAGGCCATGTCAAAAATACAAGTTCTATTTTGTATGTGACTGCATGGTGTTTCAAAGCATTCAGCACAGCTCACAGGCATCAAGAAGCATGAGCAGCAGGTGGAGGGAGGTCATACTCCACTCTGACTGTTCTGGTAGGTCTGCTCCATGTCTGGAGAAAAGGCTTCATCTTTAATTAGTACAATTAAGGCCATGTCAAAAATACAAGTTCTATTTTGTATGTGACTGCATGGTGTTTCAAAGCATTCAGCACAGCTCACAGGCATCAAGAAGCATGAGCAGCAGGTGGAGGGAGGTCATACTCCACTCTGACCTGGCGAGGCCCCATCTGGAGCACTGGGTCCAGTTTTGGGCTCCCCAGTTCAAGGAGGACAGGGAACTGCTGGAGAGTGTACAGCAGAGGACTACAAAGATTATGAGGGGCCTGGAGCATCTCTCTAAGGCTGAGGGACTTAGTTCTTTTTAGTCTGGAGAAGAGAAGATTGAAGGGGGATCTGATCAATGCCTACAAATACTTAAAGGGTGGGTCAAGAGGATGGAGCCAGCCTTTTTTCAGTGGTGCCCAATGACAGGACAAGAGGAAATGGGCACAGACTTGAACATAAGAAGTTCCATCTAAACATGCAGAGGAACTTCTTTACTTTGAGGGTGGCAGAGCCCTGGAAGAGTCTGCCCAGAGAGGTGGTGGAGTCTCCATCTCTGGAGACATTCAAAACCCGCCTGGACACGTTCCTGTGCAACCTGCTCTGGGTGGACCTGCTTTGGCAGGGGCTTGGATTAGGTAATCTCCAGAGGTCCTTCCAATCCCATATCATTCTGTGCCCTAGAGAACTGCTCTGGGTCAGAACAGAACCAGTAAGTGCAGGATGTGCCTGGCTACATCGAAGTCCAGCACAAGTAAGATACTCACACACATACAGCATTTGGGCTTACACACAGGGAAAGGACCCAAGTCATTAACAAAACACTGATGAGCATATGCTAGCCAAAGCTTTATTCCAGCTTCTTCCATTGCTTTAGTACAGCACCAAGTGCAGGGCTCCAACCCAAAACAACTGTTTCCCTACAGAGAAAAAACCCTACATCAACCCCCACCTGCCCCCCAAAAAAACCCACCCAAACCCCCTCAATTTTTCTTAGAAAAAAAAAAAGAAACCATAGTTAACAATGCAACTTTTCAAAAAGCAAACATCAGAAAGTGTTGTGCAACACAGTAGCCTGTACAGCAACTCACAAGAAACCTTTGTTCAAGAATCACCCACCAACAGCTAGATACAAGTTAGTGCACACATAGATCCAGTAAAGAATTCCAGTCAAGAGGCAAATCCTTACTTTAGTAAAGAAAGTACAGCTGTAAGAAGCCCAGGTGACAATGACAGTCTACCCACAAGCACCATTCCTTCACAGGGAAGTACAGTAGCTACAGGCATTTGTCCAGCAGAAGGAATGCTCAATGCTTTGCCTGTGTTCTTCTTTCCATCAAAATACATTTCCATGGAAATGTATACAAGAGGTACTTTTCAGCTTCATGTGGCCAATGTGTCACTTGGTTTCAGGAATGTTGGAGGACATGAGGATCTTCAGCTAAATCTGAACTGCAGCCAGTTTGCTTTTCTACAGGGAATAAAAACAGATTAGACCCATCAAGATGTTCCTGTAAACTCATATAAATGCATTAATATCTGAAGTCATAGCTCTACAAGGCTTCAGACCAAATGTCATCAACAGACTGGACCATATTAAAAGGCTACACTTATCCTTCTACAATAACTTCATAAAATAGTTGAAACAACAGAACTGCCCAAGACGATGAAGAGAGCGGTGCTCCCAGATCTCAGTTACGAGTTCAAGCCATTCCACCCCTCAGTGGCCTGAGCATGAGCCACTCCAGGAGTTTTTTTTACATCCTGTGGATCAGGTACCTTCTACTCAAACCACCTTTCTAGGCAGTGACCCACATGTGCAGCAAGATGCAGTTCTGCATGACCTTGGCCATGTTTTCTGCACCGTTGCTGAGGGTGCATGCACTAACACCCTACAGAGTATTTGAGAACACAGACAATTGGCAGATTTGGACAATAATAATTAGCAACCAAAGAGGGGGGGGAAGCCCAAAATGAAGTGTTGAAGTATTATCAAAACCAGAAGCAGCAAGATCAAGAGTAATGCTGCATTTGAGTGAGGCAATTGAGGGACGATTTGTAGATTCACCAGTTTAACATTTTAATTGTTTTCAACTGCCTTTTTGCCAACAGGTGACTAAGTCTCTGTTGCAGGCTCCATTATTTGTTACCCATACACAGTCAGCTTTCAGCATAGTTGCACTGAAATACCATTACCAGTTCAATCACTGAGAACACAAATGCTCTCTCTCCTTGAGCTTAGATCAGCCACCATCAGGCCACCACCGGTCAAACATAGGAACAAGTTGCCCACAGAGGTTCTGCTGTTTCTATCCTTGAATAGATTCTAGACCTGAAAGTCCTAAGCAACCTGATCTAGTTGACCCTGCTTTGAGCACCTCCAAAGGTCCCTTTCCACCAGAACTGCTCTATCACTCCACAGATTATAGAAATAATATATAATAAGAACGAACTTGTATTATTTTCTTTGGTAAACAGAATTGGTGTTTGCCAGTAACACTTCAAAATTTTGAAGTAACAATAAAGATGTACGTGCACTAGTCACAAACCATCCTTACAACAACTAAGCTGGTATTATTATGGGCTTAGATTCATAGACCAAGATTTGTTAAAGGATTGGGGCATTCCAATCCCAAACTACCACGCTTAGTAGGGTCTGCCTGGCAGTCGCTCACCCTGCCTCAGAAACATGAGCAAGAGTACCATGCTGGTGGCCACTGCTCAAAACCTTACCAGAGATCTATAACTTAGGTGTAACCACCCCATCTTGTCCAAGAGGCTCAGTCTACTAAGCTGACTAAATAAACACTACCCTGATTTCTAACCAAGACAGAGTAACAGCTTTCATTGCATGTATTCACCATTAAACTGATAGCACAGAAGCTAATGCTACTAAGAAAATTGCAACAGTATTAAATACATAAGATCAAAGAAAAGAAAAAAAAAAGAAGTTTCAACTGTATTTTCTAAAGTAGAGCGTTTTCTAGAAAACTAGAAAGCATCCAACCACGGAGTACATAACCTCTTTGGAAGGTTTAAGGTAGTCTTACCTTGAGGTAAGGACTCCTCTGGTAAGTTTTCTGTTGCAGGGGTTAGTGCCTAAACAGAAAGGGATTCTATTAGGAAGATGGCACTACTGCCAAGATAGCTCTCCATTGAGGGGCTTCCTTTAATACTAGAGTAGCTTTTAACATCAGCACTGATGGACTCTTATTTACCACTGTTTTACCCCCTTACAACTCAGTACAGAGGTCTTCTGCACACTTTTTGCTTTGATGCAAAAACTGCATGTGAAGAATGAACCAGAAATTGATTGTTACCATTGCCAGTAGCATGGCAAACAACCCAAGTTCTGGGTTCCAGACATGAGCTTTTCATTCATGGGTACTTCATGAAGACCACCGGTGAAAACCTTACTATAATTTCCTAATTACTTCATAATAGAAGTATTTTTCATGATTTAGGAGTTAGTTCCTATTGGCATGATCTGTTGAAAGCTACACATCACGAGCATTGTTCTACAGCTCTTGATTAATAGTAGTCTTCCAGTAACATTTCTTCCTTCAAACTGTTTTCATTAATCTATTCCCAGACTGGATCCACAGTCTTCAGGCCAGATGCCTGACAGTTTATATAAATAGTTTACATAAATTATATCAGTTATATAATAGATTGATACAAGTGTCTATAGTCTCCACAGAGATCCATGAGAGAAGTAAGGACAATATGATGTCTTAAAGATAAACCCTGTGCTTCTAGTAGTTAGCATGAACACAGATTTAGATTAATGCAACTTTGTCTTTCTATTTTCATGGTGACACAGAAAGAATCACAACTAAATTTGGAGCGCCCTTTCCAAAAATGGGTACTGTCCTGCCCAGTCCACCACCACATGGCCATACCTCAGATGATCTGCCAGCCCAGTCAGGAATACCGTTCCAGACGTTCTCAGGATCCACAATCTCCTCATTGCCACTGGAGAGAATCAAGACCTGTACAGACAGAGTCAAACTGTATCTAGCACAGCAATGGATCCTGAGAATACACATAGCAAATAAGACACAGTAGTAGGAAAACACAATTGAGGACTCCCTGCCTTTGAGAAGGATTTCAGTCAGGACCTCACAAGGAAGAGCAAGTTAACATCTAATACTGAATCTGCTCAAGACTCTCCCAGGCTTCTAACCCAAGTATGATGAGAGAGGAAGGCTGGAAAACACCTACTAGATCAGAATCAGTAGGAAACTCATGAATAGGGCTATCACTACCTACCTGACACCCATCTGAACACAGCTGAGGTTAGCTTTAGATACACAAGGAATCTACTAGCAAAAAAAGTTGCCTTCCCTGTTCTCAGGCATTCAGTTTTACAAAAAGTTACTTTCATTAAGTGTAAGGATTTGCAACCTTAAATTACAACTTAAAGGCCCTTTTACTTAAGTATAGTGTCTGTGCATATGCATATATACACACACAGACAGTTGCCCTGGAGGAAGACTTCTCATTTATCCCATAGCTTGAACAGCCATAGAACAAGGCAGCCCATTAGATTACAGTCCACTGTTAAAGTTAGCACCCACCAAACACTAATTCAATACACATAGCACTGAAGTAGGAATAGTTGTGTATTCTTTATTAATGGCAGTATAATTCCAGTTTCTTCCCAAGTTTCCACTGTTCTAGTACTAAGGCATCAAACAATGCCAAGTTCTGTATTTAATGGCACACAGCTCTGTAGCAAAACAGCAACTTGCAGGCAGATAGAACACACACACGTATGAATATGCATCTCAAACGGGAGCCAGATCCTTCAGCTTTCCCAGCCAATGCAGGGGAAGAAGTGAAGGGAATATCAAGTGCTGACAAACAACATCTGCTCTCTTTGAGACACAGCTCCTTGTACATAGTCTGCAAGTCCAGAACCAGCCTTTGCAATGCCAAGTTTTAAATTCTGTAACAGACTTCTGCAACATATTCAAAGTTTGGAGGAAGACCAAAGAAGTACCAGATCTTAAGAATGCAGAAAGCATATTCAAACCATACTTACCCTGGTACCTTTTTCAGATATTTCCAAAATGCGAGCTTCGCACCATTTTAGAGAGCTCCACACCACACACTTGGAACCAACAGCAAAGCCCTCCAGATTACAAGTATACTCATTGTGTTCTACAAAAGTGATGACATATCAATGAAGGAGGAAGGAAAAAAAACCACAGGAAAAAAACCCTCCAAAACACTCCAATGCCTCACAAACCTGCTCCCATACTCCCCTGCCTCCCTCCAAACTACTTTTACTTAATAAGTATTTGAAAGTTAAGCATTTGTCATCCTGAACAATCTTGAAAATGCATTTCATGTTAAGAAGTATATTTACAACATAAAATCATTGACCTCTCCAAGTTAGATTAGTTGTTGCTAGACTGTCACATTATTACCCATGAGATACCTCAATGTCTTAACCCATCAAAGCATACTGACATTAACACCAATATAGTACTAGGGAATAACAATTAGGTTTCTACAAGAAAGCTATTCTCAAGTTTGAATGTGTACATTTTGATTACTGAACTCCTTAAAAATCAGATACTTTACCTGCACCACAGTCAGCCAGGTTCTTGTTTTGCTTTTTTTCTACTTCATCCCCAGGCTTACAGTCAGAAGATGGAACAAGTGTATTTGCACATTCTTTAAATAAGTCAGTCAAGTCTTGTTTCATCCATTCTTCCACGTAACAGTCATCCTCCTTCTTCTGCCACTCCTTTTGTTTCTCAACTTCACAGTCACATGATTTTACAGTGCAAACAGGCCTCGGATTTAAGTCTTTTGTAAGACATGGAAATTGACTTCCCCTATTTGCAGAACTTTGCAGTGCAGCATGTTCCAACCCTAACAAGTCCTCCTCCTCCCCATCTTCCTGAGAAGGCTGCACATTAGGCAGCACCAGTCCCAGAAGCTGCTCGATTTCAGCCCCTAGCATTGACAGTACATCATCGCTCTTCAGATCCGGTTGTTTCTCAGATCTACCAGCTGATGAAGACAGCCTTCGGGGAGGAGACTCTACTTCCATCCAATCATCTTCTCTAGCTTCTGCTTTATAAGTTCCAGACAAATCCAATTCCAGTTTTGCTGCCTTCTCTCCCAGAGAAAGCTCAATGTCAGAAGGCATCAGGTCTGTCTTCTCTCCATCACTAACTGAAGGCACCAAGTTCCCTCTCCCATTAAGCGATGGTAAGATATCAAGAAATTTCAGAGCTGCCAACTGCTCTGTCTCCTCACTTGCAACTGGCAGCTCAAACGATTCCTGTTCCAACACCTCCTCTCTCACTTCACTGCCCCAAGCTTTCTGCATTTCAAGTGGTTCTGTTTCCAGAGCTTCCTTTGTTTCTTCACCAAAGGAGGACTGCATTGAAAGCGCCTCTAGCTCCAGTACAAGCTCTTTTAGATCATCATAGGAAGAGTGCATTTCTAATTGATTCAGTTCTGCTAATGGCCCTGCTTCATCACTTGAAGACGACTGTACCCGGAGCACTGGCAACCTTTGCAGTTCTTCCCGATTGTTTGGGAAAAACCTGGCTGCTGAAGCACTGCCCGTCAGTTCTGCTTTCAGCTCAGCATCCTCTTGCAAAGGAGCTTCAGATAATTCTTGTTCTGCAGCTTTCATTTCACTCCCCGAAATCTGAAGACTGCAGCTTCTTGTTGGTTCTAGTAACACACTGTTATCACTCTCTCCTTCAGATAGATGTATCTCTTTATCAAAGCTGCTTTGACACTCAGCTGTAGTTTCTCTTTTGAGACAAAGACCCATATCATTATTTGAACATCTGTTTTCCTGTACAGGGTTCTCAAGGTTTAAGAAAGCATTGTCACCAGTTCCTTTATTAGCCTTCCAAAATGGCTTCATCTCTTCATTAATATTCTTGCCAGCAGCTTCCAGCTTGACAACAGACAGAGGGACTTCAGAAGCTTTATCTCCCCGAGTTTCTACTACTTCAGCTTCTAATAAGAGGTCTTCGGTCATATTATAAAACTTCTCTTTCGCTTCACTAAGCCATGAGCCCTCTGAGGAATTGAAACCTGACAGACAGCAAGCAAATGCTTGATTAGGTACTTTGAGCAATTCACAGGGCATTTGTCTGACCATCTCCAAGCTAACAGCTTCCTCGCTTCCGTAATCCACGTGTCTAACAACTATGCTGTCACCTGCTACACTGCAGACTCGAGCTCTGTAGAACTTTCCATCTTGACTATATTTTGCCAGACACACATCACCACTTTTAATACAAGGTCTGAAATCATTCAAAGAATTTAGTTCAAAGGTTTCAAATTCCTCTATTTTTTCTTCTATGTAGTTCATGTCTTCTGTATCCGCAGTGTGACTCCAAAAATATTCTGGACCATTTACCACCGTGACATAAATTTTTACAGTCTGACCCACCTCTGGAGGCTTCCAGATAAACGATTTACAATTGCTTCCACTGGAAGTTTCATTTTGTGCCTGGGGAGGCAGAGGCTCACACACAGTTACCACGTCACTGTTCTCTCTATCAAGTATTTCTGTTGAACAAGACCTTTTCCTATTTGTAAGATTTTCATCAGCTAAATCCACTGTTATTATACCTTGATGGTCACTGAGAATAACTTCCCATTTATCCTCAACCTTCTCTACAAATTCACACATCAGCAGAACTTCACTTGTTCTCTTGGTGAAGTACAGCACTGCTTTCTCTGCCCAGATTGTATTTTTTTTGCATTTAAGCCCACCTAGGAAGCAGTGAATGCTTATTGCTGGGATAGATGACAAGTCTTCAGGGAGCCTGTGCGCTTGATCAACATTAATTACTGAGGTATTACCATAATCAATATATTGTATACTTAATAAATTGTCAGAAGTCTTCTCTTTCACTACAGCTCGATACCACAGGCTGTCTTCTGAATAAACAGCACTGATTAAGTCTCCTGCTTGGAAAAGCTGTCCACAAGGGCTCTTTGCTTGTGTCCCATTGTTTAGGCTCTCCGAAATGCTGTTAAGCTGAGCCTCATCACTTTCTAGTTGAACATAAAAATCCAACGGATCATTTACATGAGACACATACACTGACACTTTAAGAGCTGGCACTACCTTCTGTTGCAGATCAGACACATTTTCAAGCGTTATACACCTGCCTTCAGCATCAGGTTTAATATCTGACTGCACACCCATCTGGACAGAAAGCAGAGACTCCTCCCCTGCTTTATTTAACAAAAAAGCATCCTTCTTACTGCTAATTGTGTCACCAGATTCTAGTAACCCAGCTGCCAGATCTTCCTTGGTAGCAGGCTGGAAAAGGTTTACATCTTCAAGGGAGTGCCTTTTGCTACTCTCCCCTCCTCCCTCGTCTCCAGAGCCCCGTTTTTGCCTTTCAAGAGGTCTACCTGCATTTAAAGAGGACTCTGCAGTCTCATTCCCATCTGCATTTTGAGAGCACAAAGATTCATCTTCTACGTGTCTGCACAGTCCTGTATTGTTTATCAAGCTTAACTCCTCCTTCAGTTTTGCATTAATTTGAGTTTTACCATCAAATAACTCAATCAACAGTTTACCATCAGATTCCCTTGCTACCACAATTGCTTTTAATTGCCTTTCTAGGATAGCTTCCTTAAACCACGCTGTAGCTTCTTTGGGAACATTAGATATATCAGACAAGGAACACTTTATGGCCTGCATTGGCAAAAGCAAGATATCCCAAGCATCCCTGGGTAAAGGAAGCAGATTATCCTTCTCTATTATCTCCGTGTTCCCGAAATCCACAAAGAAGACTTCCATATTAGGTTTTGTTTTCATAATTACTCCCCTGTACCAGTAATTGTCAGTATACTTTGCTAGACACAATCTCCCAGACCTTTGCAAGGTTTTTAAGCTGGTCATTGTTTCAGTTAGGCGACCAATGCTCTCGGTAAGCTGTGCTAAGACATCTGCACATCTTTCTAGTTGGCAGTAAAATGTCCAGGGATCCTCAACATGCGTAATATAAACATCCTCCTCACTCCCAATTTTGATACCGTGCATAGAGTAATAGTAAGAACGAAGCTGAACCAAGGATACCAGAGACTTTTGAGGAGACAAAGGTCTGGCCACACCTCTCTCGGTCAGAAACTTGCAAGCACTCTGAAAAGGTGTCATTAAATCTACAATGTTAAATAGCTCATTATTTATCGAAGCCAAGGCAAATATTGTACACTTCAGTTCAAAGCGAGACGATGAAGTATCAACAAACTCCTGAAAAGCCTGAATAGCTTCCTCATCCCAAGCAAAAGGATCATGACCATTTGGTTGGATTAAGTTGTAGAGGCTGCACCTGAAAGCCTGAGCCTCTAACCTAAGAAATTGTTCATTAATTGAGCGTAGGTTCTCGAGAGAAACAAACTCCCTGTTGCCATAGTCAACATACACGACTTCCACTTTTTCTGCAGAAGTAACTTCACTAATAATTAAAGCCCTGTACCATTTTTCATCCTCTGAGTACTGAGCTAAACATACAGAACTTGGCCAAGTATGTGGGTGGGATGAATTTTTACAGTACTCCTGAATTTTAGCCATTAATACCTTAAGATCATGGCAATTTCTACTTAACTGACACCAAAAATAACTAGGATTTTCAAAATAAGACACAATGACATCAACTGTATTTCCCACTTCTAATTGACCTCCATAAGAGAAACTTGGCTTCATTTCCACATAATTCTGTCTCCAAGAAACAGGCAGGTTTTCCTTGCCCTCATACTCCAGAGCAGGAAGAGTGTCAGTACTTTTAGAATTGTTAATGGCTGCAAGAGGGCCCTCTCTGACCATCACAGCTGTACAGGGATTAAGGGCTCTACCACTTCTCTTTAGATTAGATTCTTCTCCGAGCTTCTTCCCTGCATTTAGTTGGTTTTGCTCCACATCACCTGCTGGGGAAGAGGCCTGGCTCACAGCCTTACCAGATGACTTCTGGAGAGCCTTGGGCACTTCACAACTCTGGTATTCAGCATACCCTCCCTGGGCCATGAGGTTACTTACATTTTTCTCTCCTAATTGGGACTGGTCAAAAATTTCAACCACATATTTGTCACCCTGTGCACTCAAAAAGCGAACCTTTAGTCCCTTGTCGAGTACAATCTCTCTGAAGGCAGCCACAGATGCTTCATTCCAACTCCCTCTCAGAGGGGAGACACCTGCCAAACAACACTTCAAAGCTAAAGCAGGTAGTTCCCTGAACTGAGGGAGCAGTTCCTTTACCGCACACCGATCTACAGTTTCGGTATCACCCCTGTCCACCAGGTGTACTTCTACCCCACCATCCCTCAGTACCCTGGTGATCACCGCTCGATAAAAGGCACCCTCTTTCCCAGTGGCACAACAAAGGGATCCGGTCTGTAGGTCCCACCCAGCATCGTCCAGCTTCGTGGAGTGGGAGTAAAAATTCCACATACGCTGCCTCAGCCGCCTGAACAGCCGGCGATGCTGAGGGAGCTGCAGCCAGAACTCAGATGGGTCCCGGAGGTGGGACACCTGAGCATCATGGAACGCGCCCAACTTCAGGTGCACACCAGCTACAGAAACAGAGGCCAAACCTCCGTCTGTTAAAGACACAGGAAGCGCTTCTGGTGGCAATTCCAGTTCTTTAGCTGTGGATTCTTCCACTTCCAGCTGCTCCTGAGCCTCAGTTTGGCCAACCAGGCAGCAAGCCTGCACCCCAAAAAGATGGTTCAAGTTGATGCCGTTTTCCCCATACAGGGTCACATAATAGCAGTGCTCGAAGGAGTCAAATGCTTTGATATGAGCACTCACTCCTTTGCCTAGCACCAACGCTTTCAGCTCATTGATCTGCCATGGGGACCAGCCACAACCCCCATCTGAGACACCCTGAAGAGCACAGGCATAAGTCACCACAGGCATGCGAAAACACTCCACTGGCAAATGGCGCAGGTTAGCTCTGGTCACAGTCTCCTTCCTGCCATAGTCCACAAAGATCACGAGAGCCATTTGCTGGTCCTGCTCCCCAGCAATAAGATCCAGCAGGAGCGCACGGTACCACCGGCCATCTCTGCCACGGGCAGCACAGGGTGAACCCACTTTGAGTAATAAATCCTGCTCCCACTGGTCGTAAGTGTGGCGCATGGTATCAGAAAGGCAACGGATCTCCTGGGACAGGCTCTGCAACTGGCAGAAGATGTGGTCTGGGTCAGACACATGTGTCACTAAGACAGGTTCTGTTATATCCAACTGAAGCTGTGGGTAGAAGTAATCCAAGGCAGGTGACACAGGCTGACAGGACAACAAACCATGGAGAAGCTGTGGCACTGCAGAAGTCACAAGGGAACATTCTGGAAGCTGCACCTTGAGCTTGTTCCTCAATTGGCTATAAGTTAGGCAGCACCTGACCACCTGGCAGAACCAACTGGGAGGGACCTGCCTGGCTAGGCCCAGGTGATACATCTGGGCCACCAGCTGGGGCAGCTCAAGCACGATGAGCTGCGGTGTCACCACCGCCTGCACCACACCAGACACCTCTTTGCCATGCAGGCAGCTGAGGAACTCCATAGCCTCCACCGTCCAGGTGTAGGCTGGTGCATCCCCACTGGGTGCCCCCCTGAGCCCTCCGGAGGGCATGGCATCAGCCACAATACAGCTCAGCACCTCCGGCGGCAGGTGGAAATGCTCCTTGCGGCCCCGCGCCAGGTAATAGGGGGTGGTGACCACCGTGCAGCCCTCATCCAGCAGGAACACACGGTAGATCTGCTCATGCCGACTCACCACGCAGCAGCGGTACCAGAGCCCCACCACCTCCACCAGGCCCAGGTCTCCAGTGCACAGCTCAGCCCCCTCAGCCACCAGCCCGCCGGGCTTCAGGACAGCTGCCAGCCGCGGCCCCGCCGTCGCCTGGATCTCACGCCGCAGGCGGACGTAGTTAGGGTTCCGCTCGCCCAGCGTCCCCCACAGCCACACCACAGGCACCTCGGGGCGCATGCCCACGGCGCAGACCCGCAGGGACACGGCGGCGCCGGGGCGCAGCGCTCCCGGCCCGGAGTTCATCCCGTCGCCTTCGCCGCCCGCACTGAGACTAATGGCCGCCCCCAGTCCCCCGGCTTCATAGGGCACGCGCCGCCCACGTGACAAGCGGGAGGCCGAATCCATTTTGATGGGGGGGGGGTGCGTGGGGTGCGAAGGGAGACCGGGAGGGGATGAGAGGCCCCATACATCGGCCCACTCCTGATAAATACGAACTACTGGAAGGCGGCACAAAGAGGAGAGTTATCGGTGGGGCGCGCTAGAGCCGCGGGGCTCAGCCCCGAGCCCGCCGGACCTACCCTCGTCCGGAGTGGAACGCTCCACGCCGGCACGGCCGGGGGACGGGGCTCGGGGGAGAGCCCTCCGAGCTCTCTCAGTCTCCATTGGTCAGAGCGGGATCGCGGGGCGGGGCGTGCGGGCAGGGCTTGGCGTCGCTACCCTCGTCCGGAGTGGAATGCTCCACGCCGGCACGGCCGGAGGACGGGGTTCGGGGGAGAGCCCTCCGAGCCCTCTCAGTCTCCATTGGTCAGAGCGGGCTCGCGGGGCGGGGCGTGCGGGCAGAGCTTGGCGCCTATTGGCCAGCGTGGGGCCGCAGTGTGAGGGCGGGGTGGGGCGCTGGGGGCGGTGGTTCCTGAGGCGAGGGTGGCGTCGCCGGGAGCCGTGGCCGAGCGCCCACCGCGGGCAGCCCCAGCTCCACGGCTCTCTCCGGCCTGGAGAGAGGAGCAAGAGTGCCCTGAGGGGCGAGCTGGGCGCGCAGGGCCTCCCCTCCGCCCGCAGCCGGGCCTGCCGCAAGCTCCCTCAGCGCCTCAGGCCGAGGCTCCCTTAGACTCCCTCAGCACCTCAGGCCGAGGCTCCCTTAGACTCCCTCAGCGCCTCAGGCCGAGGCTCCCTTAGGCTCCCTCAACGCCTCAGGCCAAGGCTCCCTTAGGCTCCCTCAACGCCTCAGGCCGAGGCTCCCTTAGGCTCCCTCAGCGCCTCAGGCTTCCTCAGCATCTGAGGTGGAGGTTGCCCTCCGGCTGTCGCCATCCAGTCTGTACCTTCATCTGTGACACGGGACACCCGCCTTCACCAAGGCCTGGCTGCACCCGAAGCAGCGTGGTCAGCAGGTTGAGGAAAATGATTCTGCCCCCCTCCTCCTCTCTGATGAGATCCCGCCTGGCGTGCTGTGTCCAGCTCTGGAGATGACAGCACAGGAGAGACATGGACTTGTTGGAGTGGGTCCGGAGAAGGGACACAAAAATGAGCAAAGGGATGAAACCCCTCTCCCAACCTCCTCTCTGATGAGACCCCACCTGGTGTGCTGTGTCCAGCTCTGGAGATGACAGCACAGCAGAGACATGGACTTGTTGGAGTGGGTCCAGAGAAGGGACACAAAAATGAACAAAGGGATGAAACCCCTCTTCCAGCAGTATCTGAAGTGGGCCTACAAGAAAGCTGAGGGGGACTTTTTACAAGCACATGTAGCAATAGGATGACGGGCTCCAGGGAGACCTTATTGCAGCTTTCCAATATCTGAAGCGGGCCTTCAAGAAAGCTGGAGAGGGACATTTTACAAGCACATGTAGCTATAGGATGACAAGTAAAGGTTTTAAACTGAAAGAGGGGAGATTTAGATTAGATATTAGGAAGGAATTCTTTACTGTGAGGGTGGTAAGACACTGGAACAGGTTGCCCAGAGAAGCTGGGGGTGCCCCATCCCTGGAGGGGTTCAAGGCCAGGCTGGATGGGGCTTTGAGCAACCTGGTCTGGTGGGAGGTGTCCCTGCCCAGGGCAGGGGGGTTGGAACTAGATGATCTTTAAGGTCCCTTCCAACTCAAACCATTCCATGATTCTATGATCTGCACCACTGGGGAGGGTGACACCAGACAGAGGGACAGCAGAGTCTGGGGCTGTCCTGCCTATGGATGGGGCAGCTGCAGGCAAAGACCACCTCTGTGGGCCTTGGGAAGCGGTAAACGTGGATGCTGTGTTTGGTGCTCCCCTGGAGATAGCCTGTGCTTTCACACTGCTCAGTTTCATCTATTCCCTGCAATCCTGTGATTTCTCCCTGCTTTTGCCCACCTGTTTTTCCAGAGAGCCCTTTAAGGTTTTGATGGGGCTGCCTTTAGGGACAATGGTCAGAAGTGGAAGTGTGAGGAAGAAGAAGGCCCAGA